TGACACGTTAATCTTAACTGAAGTTTCTATGTTGTTTAGATTGCCTTTGTTTTTGCCTATTGACCTTTCCTCTTCCTGAATCCCACCCAGGATGGCATATCACATTTGGTCATCATGTCTCCATTGTGTTTCCCTCTTGTCTTCGTTTTTGATGGTCTTGACAATTTTATGAAGTACTGGCCAGCTACTCTGTAGAAAGTCCCTCAGTTGAGACATATCCGATGTTTTTCTCTTGATTCAAAAGGCATTCTGTGTTTTGGGGAAGACTGCCTAGGTGAAGTGCCATTTTTATCCCCTGAATCCAGGATACACACCAGAAAAAAATCTGAAAAAGTGTATGTGTGTATATATATATATGAATCACTTTGCTGTCAACCTGAAACTAACACACTATTGTAAATCAAGTACGTGCAATAAAAATAAATTTTAAAAAAAGAGACTAGTGAAGATAGATATTAAAGTCTGACAACTATTTCAAATTTTTACCTTAAAATGACTATCTTAAACAGCTATTTCAAATGATTAAAAATTTTACTTCAGTTCTACTTCAAGACGTTTTAAGTTTCCATTAAGTAACTTCAACTAGTAGACACAACATGAAAAACTACATCACCACAAATCTTTGGTATGATGGTGATGCCTCTCTACAAGGTACAACCAAGAAAAAACGTTAAGAATTCTTAGCCCTTTTACATTCAGTTGAATTAATATGAAATGACAAGCCAGATATTTGATTTGGTTAACACTCAGCATTCTGCCTTTCCAGACACAATGGGAACGGTGTAAAACTCTGCAGATAGGGTAATCAGGTTGTAATGAATAGGAAGTATATTTGTGAAGGAATGAAGGAGATTATTGTCTCAAGGCTGGCACTTTCTAAGAAGATAATCACAACTAAAAACAGGTTAATGCCATACTTTTGGTCTATTGTTGATGAGTCACACCGTCTGATGCCTCAGTTTACATACTCGTTGACTAAACACATTTCATAGCCTATTCAGCTCTAGGACACATAACTATGGTTCTTTCCCAGGATGGATGATTATTTTGAGGAGGGGAATACTTAAAACACACTACTAGTCTAACCCCAGTCATTTCCCCATGTCATGTAATTTAACAGCTCTTTAACTTGGGCCAAATCAGTTTCTGTTAGAAACTTAAGAGGTCTACAGGTTTTTAACCAACAACTAAATGAAGTTTATATGAAAAGGTTTTTTTTTTGTAATCTTAGTATTTACAGAAGTATAAAGGAATATTATTCTTAAAACTAGATTCCCAGTCATTCTTGTCTCATCTTTCACTTTCCCAAAACAGAATAAAAACTTCAACTAAATTAGCTCAAATAAATTTTAGTATCACTTCTTCCTGGTAAAATATAACCGTATTAGTACTATCATACCACTTCCTCAAGGAAAACTTGGAACTGTTACATTCATTTCTAATCTGAATTTTTGTAATGATAAAAAAAATATTGTACTGAAACACCCTCTGATTTTCTAGTCTCAGTAACTCAGGTTTATTTTCATTTCTCCCTTGAATTTCCTTTTGCCATGAAGTGTAGACCTTGAGACTGAGGCTTCCTCCTCAGGACAGGGCAATGCAGCAATCGTATAGAACAAAGAATAATTGTTTAGCTCTAGCATTCAAACTGAGATTTTTAAGCTTCATAGAGAGATAATAGGTTTGAAAATAAGGTTTTAAGAAGAATTATTTTGCCAGACTTTCAAAGTGAAATTTTATAGGTTGAATTACATGAAATTTCTAATCTTTAGCCATTTTTGACCTACAAAAATGGAAATATATTATTATTCAACATACAATGTACATTAAAAACACAAGCATGGATAAGTGGCCGTATACTATATCACAGAGAAGGAAGAGAGATCATGTGATGTGATGCAAAGAAAACTCATTCCTTACTATTGCTGGGAGGAGGCACCAGAGAGAAGAGAGAGAAAAGGTTCCTGCAGACAGTCACAAGGTCAAACAAACCCCCAGCAGTAAGCAATGGACAGTGGTATAAACACCCAGTTCGACTGTGGGCTAATTCGCTGCTTTACCACACAGAGCCTGAGGGCTCTGCCCTTCAAGATCTCCCATGTTGACTGGCCAGAACCAGGAGCACTTCTGGTGTCCCATGTCTCACACATACATACCAGCAAGAAAACACCCCAGTTAGCATGTGCACTGACTCGTGAGTGGCAGAAGACCTGAGACCTGAAGAGGCACAGGTTTGGGACAAGAACATGGCATTAAGGCCTAGAGAAAATGAGCCACGTCAGAAAGCATTCAGAGCAGCATCTGAAAAAGCAGGTGACATCAGCATTAGCTCAACAGAGACCAATCAGTAAAAGACACAGGAGAACACTGGGACAATACTGACCACAGCAGGACTGCACAATTCCCAGACACCCTTCTGTCAAACCCTAGCTGTATGGTCTATGGACCTCCTAAAGAGGAAAATTACAGGAGAAGGTGGGTGAAAATCATGGAAAATTACAGGAGAAGGTGGGTGAAAAGACCCCAAAGCTGACTGACTTAAATCCTCTGGGGACTGAGAAGTGACTATTTTAAACTGTAAGGACATAGTTCTGCTGAGTGGGCAAGTTTAAGTTCATTTTCTTCCCCTGCTACCAAAAGAAAATAGAAGACCAATAAAAAGAAGAAATCAATTAAATGTTGAGGTATGCCACACTAGATTTGGATTTATCTGAAATGAGCTGCATTTAAGAAACAACTTTATTTTTCCTATTTTTTACATTTGTAACTTTTAAATTTGCTACCTAATTTGTAGTCTTTTGTGCCCTTACTTTACAATGGTCCCAACCTCAACAGCTATGAAACTATGAAGTTAATGAAGGAATGAGAAGCAACAGTTGTATTTTCTGATACCTGGTCCAGGGCACTTTCTAAGAAACAGAATTTTGTTTGTTTACAGTTTTAGTTATAAGTGCTAAGACAACAATGCACTGAAATTTAATGAACTAATGGGTAAATGACTTCTTTTATTTTTTTCTAATTTTTCTGGTTAAGATAAATGGAAAAGTTCAAGACTGGGTAGAATGGTTTACATATACTTTTACTTAGAGAAGGCCAGAATCTCCATTCAACTCTAAGATGTTTATTACCTCTCCTGTGAAAAAAAAATATAAAGATCAAATTCCAGTATTTTCAAAATATGTTCATTTTAATTTGGCTCAGTGTCCTCATTCCCGCTGAGACTACTAAGACAAGTGCTGGTGTGAAAGAGACTTAAGTCAAACTTAGACAAAACAGAGGAAGTGCCTTTAAGAAGATGGAGATAATCAGAAAGTGTTACAAAGAAAAGCTAACCTTTCAGAGTCTTCAAAGCTTTGAAGTGACCTCAGATCTGCACCTTTTGCCTGAAGTTCAGGCTATACAGACCCTTCCTATCTTGTCTGTACATCTGCAAACTGATATATGCCTTCATGGCTTTCAAGGGGATGTACTGTAAAATCCTCTGTTTACCCTTAAACTGGATCACTATGTAACAGATCCCTAGAAGCCTTTGGCACCCTCACTAAAGAAAAAATGCAAAACTCAACAGGCAAGAATGGCTGGCAGTGCTTTGTACAGGCTTCCTAAATAATCACAAGGAATCCATGTTCAAATGAAACCAATGCTCTACCTTTCTCAGATTTTTTGGTTAATATACTCATCTTTATTAGCAAGTGATCGACGCAGAATGATACAATATAAAAGGAAACCTCCAGCTGTGCTTCTAAATGGTTGGGTGTGTGATAGGGAAATCCAGACAATAATAGATGCCCAGTGTTGACCTAGCGATTGTTCAGAGCAGAATAAATACACAGGAGTTTAACTAGTTGAATGCAGCACAATCCCCTAACCATTCCCATTGTTTCCCCACTGCGATCAACTTGAGGAGTTTTTTTCCCATGCAGAAGCCAGAAGAAAGGTGGCATCCAGTGGTAAACAGGGGACCACTCACTGTCCAGATCACAATATTTCACATGACCCCAAACACAGGCTAATAGCAGTGTTCTGCCAAAATATAACCCACAGGGAATAGACCTTTGAGGTTGTTTAAAAGTGGCAGACTGTGAGAGAGAAGCCTGCTTCCTTTCTTGGAGCCTAATTTAGCTGGAAAATGAAGATAGGCAGAATGTGAGTTTCCTGTAGCTTCATGCATTGTGTAATTTTATTAGACATAAACAAACTTGCTCTGAGTGACTTGTATTAGTCAACTGAAATATTTACTTTTATGTAAAATGTGACCTCCAAGCTATATATAGCACATCATCCAATAAGAACACAAAACAGCTCCCAACCATGCCCCTTCACTATCAGTCCAACCATCAGATCCTAGAGCAGAAATCCCCTTTTTAACTTTCACAAGGCAGACCCCAAGTCCTACAATCTTACTAAGAGTCCAAACATTTGTAGATCACCACTGTGGGCCGTGTAACGGTACAAGCCATGGAGATAAGAAACCAGGTGACATCCTGTCTCAGTCCCCAAGGAGTTTACATGCCAGAGGAGGGGGTATGGATGTAGACAGGCAAATACTAACAAAAATCCACAGTGTGCTGATGGCTGAAGAAAACCCACCATTAATGTATCAAGTTGGGAAGTCCTCATGATTCTGGAGATGTTACCACTTACTTATAATCTAAATGGACCCCAAATCTATACCCTCTCCTATCAAACGAGCATAGAAAACTAAAACAGCACATAATGTATTCCTCTCAGCACCATAAACTGGTGTGCTCCATAGTTTAGGTGTATTTATTAACAGACACAGATTTATGGAGAATTTTTACTTTGTGGCCCATGGAGGGGGTAGCAACATACAACTGAGAAAGAGGGAGGGAATTAATACCACAGTTCCCTATCTTTGCCTCATTTTAAGCCATTTACCCATTTATTTTAAGACCTATACCCACTGTTACTCTTTACCCCAACCTCTCAGCAAAAACGTTTTTTCCGGGAAACAACAGCAAACAGGAAAGGCCACTGACCTGAGACGGTGCTTTCAGGCTCTTCTCCCAGCAGCCTCCTTCTAAAGCATAAGTTGTGCATCCTCGTTAGTAACAAACAACAGTGGTGTATAATGCTGTCTTCCTGTTATCTCCAAGCAGAACAAGTTCCTGGGTCTAGGGAAAAAAGAAGTTATTTCTACTTTTTTGTTTTTAAATGTGGTGATTAAAGGTTATATACCAAAGAGATTTTGAAACTTAAAGTATCCCAGGAAGCCCAGGGCTTTACAGCCACAGAATATATTTACAGAAATCACCCGAGAATACTAGCTCCTAGGTAGTGGGACTCCTCACAAGAGGGATGCAGGCAGTCTCTTACTTTAAATGGACTCCTTTTAGTGATGAGTTCCTGGGAGCCAGGATATCTGAGATCCAGGACTGCAGGGAAGGATGGACTCTCTACTCTCTGTTTAGATTTTTGTAAGCAACTGAAATTTCAGCTCTAGCTTCTCCCCTTCTGTTCAGCTCTCAGTGAGCTCCCAATGCTTCCAATGAGACTTCCTAAAGTTTACTATGCGGTACCACATAACCAGGTTTATATCTAACCATGAAAGGACCACAGCCAGCTCTGGATTGCCCCTGCTGTCACCCTGTTAGTTAGGACTTGTTAGCCTTTTAAATTGAACACTGCAGCCATGCTCTGCTTGTAGCCCTGATCATCCCCAGGTTCCACTAGCAAAGTTAAACTGTCCAAACGTACTCTCACACTATATTAATAGCCAGCATGGTTGTTCAGCAGCAGAGGGAACGTTCTGTTTTACACATCAACTTCCTAGAGACCACACAATGTAAGGACAAGATCAGTGTTTTTAGAGTCAAACAGAAAGAAATTTGAATCCCAGACCAGTAATTTTCTGCTGTGATCTGCGGTAATTCTGCAAAAGTAGATATTATGATGTCTATGGTACTGATAAAGAAAATAAAGCCCATGGCAGTGATAAAGCAAAGCCCCAAGAAGTTAAGCAGTCTGCTCTAAAGTTAAGTAGAACACATCACGAGTAAATAGCCCAGGGAGAATTCCAATGTAGACGCCACTTTACCTTATTTCCTTCAAAATTGGGTCTTTACCTCACTGGCGCATGAACGCTCCACTTGTTTGGACTAATGTCTGTTCTAAACCTGCATTTACCTCTTACTGCTGCCAACTTGGTAACTAAGGAGTTCTACATCTTGAGGCCTCCTTGACCACAAAAAAGAAAAACATCCTGAGTGCACTGGAAAAGAGATTTTTCAGGTTCACTTCTACCTAGACTGCTGTTTTCTGTTAGCGATGTGAGTGAGATCAGATTTTTAAATCCAGCCATAGTTACTGTGGTTAAATCTGATGTGGAGATTAAGTCTATTTTGGAGAAGTTTAAAACACATGGCTTTAGACTCCCTGGAGATAGAGAGGAAGGAGCCTTAGAAAAATTTTCTCCCAGACAACTCCGGAGATCTTAGGAGCCCTTAACAAGGACAGACCTTCTAGATTGGGATCTACCATCAAAGTCCTGAGACAAAACCAGTCAAACTGCCTGAAGCCTGGACAGTTCTTCCCACCACTGGCTCACACACATAACAGGACATGTGCTGGAGGGCAAAATGGAGTTAATATGCTTAGTCAGACCCATCCTTCCTGATTCCTTGACTTACCCTAGGTGGAGGAAAATGCAGAAAATTATCAAGAACAGGGTTAAGGGGATATATACCTACACTCAACAATTTGAGTTTGTTCTGACCTCTATTTGGCGTATATTTGTATGAATGTGGATAGAGACTGGGAGTGGGGTAAGAGACTAAAGTAACTGGAGAAGGGGTAGAATTATCATAACTTGATAAATGTTCCAAACCCAAAATAACTGCTCCTTGGAAATTACAGCACATCGAATGAGTAGGAGGGAAGACTGATCTGGTGATAATAGATGTCACAGAGGACGTTTCACATTTTGGGATCTGCAGTGCTGATTGGTTCAGGATATTTATAACTGGAGAAACTCACATCCTGGCTTAATAAATCCTGCCTTACAGAGCCACGGATGGAAATTTCTTCTACACTGTCTATCTTGACTAGTATACCTCTATAATTTCTTATTTGAAACTTTGGCGGCAAATATGTTTCAGAATGCAGAATTTTTCAAATCTGAAAGGTAATCTCAATAGGGTTGAGGATAATATTCCAAGCTCAAATATATTAATATTTACACTGAATGGGATGTATAACTACTTAAATAACTTCCTATCAGTTCAGATCAGATTTTGCTGCCAAATGAATTCAGGTCAGGTCAGGTCAGATTGTGCCACCAGATGAGCTATGGAAAACTCATTTTCCAGAGCTTTTAGGATTTTGGAAATACAGCTATGGGATTGTGAAACTGTACAAATGGAAACTTCTGCTTAATTATTCTGCTAAATAGAAATATCAATTTACAGGAAGATGGTGAACTTTGATTTGAGGAATGTGCTTAGAAGTAGTAGGCAAACAATAATAATAATATAGCCAACATTTCTTGCACAATTATTGTGTGCTGGGCATCATGCTAAGACTTTAACATGAATTAACCCATGTTAAGTCTCATAATTCTATGAGGTACTATAGTGATGTACTGATAGTCCTATTGACAAATGAAGAAAGTGAAGAACACAAAGGTAAAGTAACCCTGCACAGCACACACAGCAAATGACTGGAGGGGCCCTCATTTGAAGACTGCTGCCTTCTCTGAATATTTATACTGTAGTTTCACATTCTACACAAAGAAAACAGTTCTTATATATCACTCTACACACACTCCTCTTAACCTGTAGGAAACTAAGGGGTAGATTTTACATTTAAGGTTACTATCTTATTTCTCAAGATGCTTGCTTTCATCATGAAATGTCTTTTGTATCAGGACATCTGTAATTCTTCATCTTGAAACTGAACCAATTTACAAATTATTGACCATACAAGCTTACTGTGAGTTATATAAGAAGAATCAGAGTATTTACATTTGTCCTTGAAGGTAGAGACTGATTTCTAGTCGCTGTTTTTTCCTGAAGACCTAACTCAGAAGTTTGTGTATAATAGGCACTTTTAGATGAATGAATGAGTTCAAATCCCCAAACCGCACCCCACCTCTAAACAAATAAGTTCCATTCAAAAATGCTAATTTTATTATTCCACTTACTTACATTTTGCTCTTCATTGACATTAATCCATTAGAATGTTTAATGAAATCAAGCTTTTATGCTGACTTGTTCTTATATAAAAGTACAGCATGGATGGGTGGGAGGTTAACCACTCTGTCCTTGGTTGAATGTATTATTTTAGCTGGGCTCTACTGACTCCTGGCCATGCTTGTGTGTGTGTGTGTATTTACTATGTATATACACACATGGAATGTGTGACACACCAGATAGCATCAGGCCTTATACAAGCAGTGCTTGGGAAATGATGCTGTTTATCCAGTTTTACTTGATTGCTAGAGTCAGGTGCTTCTACCTGGTTCCCATGCCTGTCTCTACAATATCTGAAGAGTTCTTTGATTCAGAACTTCATAAAGATGAAAGGATTGGGAAGTGCTGAAGCCATACTATAAACCATACTATACACAGTTTTCTAAATTTACCTCAAGCTAACCTTGTAGTTCTCATATTAATTTCCAGTCCTATTCATTAAGAAATTTGTGGCTAAAAAACCAACTCCTTCCTGGTTCTGTCCATATTTTGCACCATTGCCATGGTTCCAAAGAAATCTCCCACGTCTTGCACTGTTCTAGTTTCAAACTTAAATGACAGAGCCAGTCTCTTTCTTCAGGACTTCCATACTGAGACTTCTCAGTCTATCTGCAGTTGCATAAAGTTCTTTCTCAAAGCACAAAGATTTTCTTTTTCCATTGAGGTTTGATAGCAGATTTACTTTTCTACTGCATAGGACAGTGCTGGGACTTGAGAGTCACAATTTCCAGAGTATCCTCTGCAAAAAACTGCCAATAACACCCCATTCCTATAGCTTCTCCCTCCACTTGCTACCTTGCTGGAGCTCCTTGTCCCTTTCTCCCTCCCTCTCTCTCTTCTGTCCTTCAGGGGCAGAGTGGGCTATTGTGACACAGTACAGCTTTCAGGTGGGGTAAGTCCTGATAAAGGATTCCCCATTGAATAGTAGCCACCAGCCCTTTATTACTTTCTGTGTCACATTATCTGCTGCTTCTCTGGGTATTCTTGGACCACACATAGGCTTACATATGCAGAGATACACACACCTGCACTCCTAAACCATCCTTGCAGACAGATAATAATTTGAGGATTTAAATTGTCCTATTGGCTTTACAAACATTTATCATGCCAGTTATTAACAGATAACCAATTAAAAAATTTTTTTCAATCAATTTGAATTGAAATTTGTTCTCGAATTTAGGGAGACTCGGGCTTGTATGCAAATACGTAACTGCATGGTTTATCATCAACAGGGTTCATAAATTCCTGGAAGCTAAAAAAGCTGAAGAAGTATTAACCAAGTTATTTCTGCCCATTATTGGTACTTCTGCTATTTTGCTACAAGAAAAGATTGACAAATAGTTTAGAGGGGATACTAATTAATTAGGGAGATACTAAATAAGCTATTCACTCCTATTCATCCATCTATGGAAGACAGTCATAATCACCATAATTGCCTCCAGTCTAAGAGTCTGGCACTTATTTTGTACCCACTACTGAGCAATATAGATGTAGCATGGCCTGTCATACCAGGGATAAGAGGCTTAAATGCAGACATGTGAGCTAACAGCATGAGACATTACATTAAGTCTCCAAATAGTTAAGGATACATGCCCACAAGTCCAAAGTCCCTAATACAATCCGAATTCTAGAGTCAGGAAAACTTTTCATTGATTATATAGATTAACATTTTTGTTTTATAAATGAAGAGGTTGACACACAAAAGAGGCTGATTTGTCCAATATATTAGGGCATTATTTTATTGGCCATTCATGTAGAGTAGGTCCTCAACTCTCCATCCCTCCCTTTGCATCTTTCGGGAGCTGCCCTCTCTTTCCATGCTGAGTCATATAATTCACTTGTTGGCTCTTACATACCATTAATTTATCCAAAGGTGTATTTTAGAACGCATAAACATATTTATTTTTTACTGTGATGTATACAGT